CCCGAAAATGTGCGATCAATTGTTTCCCCTACTTTTTGCCGATGACGCCAAATTTCTCAGCGTGGGTTTAAGCACAATAGATATTCAAAGTGATTTAAATGCGTTGTATGACTGGACCGTTAGAAACAACATGCCCTTCAATATGGATAAATGCTGCCTAATTAAAATGTCCAAAAACGAAAAACGATTGCTTTTTGGAAACGAATTGATTAAAACAGAGGAAACTCAATCTGATTTGGGGCTCATGCTTTCCTGTGACTTAAAATGGAATTTGCATATAAATAAGGTTTGCTGCAAAGCAATTCGTGTTTTTCACATGATAAAAAGAAGCGTATCGAATCTTGGACAAAAAGCTAAACTGGATTTGTATAAATCTATGATCGTACCAATACTCACGTACGCAAGTCCATGTTATGGATTAAGTAAATACATTATTACGGAGCTTGAAAATGTACAAAGGCGTATAGTTAAATGGATAATTCCGCATATGGATTCGTACAAAGATCGGTTAATCGAAATTTCACTATTGCCACTGCCAATGTATATACAGATCAACAACCTTTTGTTGCTGTCAAAAATTTTATCGAAAAATTATGATGTTGACATGTTGAAAGTTCCATCGTATTCCTGTTCCTCGCGCGGTTGTATGTTTCAGCTCGAGAGGCCGAAAAAGAAATGTTTGGAGGACGAATTCTTTTACCAAACATGTCGGCTAGCGAATGTGATCAAAATTGACGTCAGAGAAACAAGCAGACTGAAGAAGCGAATATTGTGGTTATTTTGGAGAAAATTTGAGAAGGACTACGAACAAATGAACAAGTGCACATGGAGAATTGCTTGCGATTGCACGATGAATGACTGTAGAAGCAAAACTTCACTATAGAACGAAAAACTGAAAGGGGGAAACCCCTTGTGCTACGAGCACAAAAGCCCTACTACTACTACTACTACTACATACTGCAATAACTGCTATCACTTCGATACTACGAAAATTCCGAAGATTTTGACTGGAATATGTGATGAAAGGACTCCTGACTCTCACCTCGGTTACCATGAAATTTTTGACCTTCTGATTATTCAACATATATTTAAAAAAAGTTGGAAAAAATACTCTAATAATAATAAAATAATTTATATTTTTCCAGTTCGTTTTTCTATTTTTTCAGTAAAATAGTCTCAGTTAGATTTTTTGGAAATTAGTAAAGCTTTTCGTGCGCTGAAAGAATTATATTGAGCTAATATGAGATTTAACAAAATTGAAGACTGCCAATTCGGAGACAATAAAACGGAAGATGATGCAAATGAGACGTGGGGAAAAAGGTGTCGTCATCTCGACCGGTAGACAGTTCTAATTTTGATCTTATAAAGAATTGAAGGTCACACTCAGTTATCAGTTTCATAGTAGAACTTCTGCTTTCGTTGGTAAGTTTGAGTACAAGAGGGGGGATAAATCAATTTTGCGTCTCCTATAATAGTTACAATGTCTTCCGTGTGCAATTGAAGGGAGTCATGGCATTTGCGTCTCCTATTACAATTTAAAGGTCTTCGTGGGCAACTCCTGTGATATGGAAAGCAAAAAAGTAGAAAAATTAAAAAGGCATTTATTTTTGGTCACTATTTTGAAGCACTGCCCCTGCTAAGTCCCGTATTCCACGGCTTGCATTTCCTCAATAAAAAGCGAGTTTGTGTAGGGCAGTAAGTAGTCAAATTTATATGAAATTTTAGTGTCGAAAAGTATGCCAACAGAACTGAAGAAGAGTTTGGTTTGTTGTATGACTAGTGTCGAAAGAACTGATGTCGGATGCTTTTGTTTGTTCTTCTGAAACGGAAATTAGTAAAGCTTTTCGTGCGCTGAAAGAATTATATTGAGCTAATATGAGATTTAACAAAATTGAAGAGTGCCAATTCGGAGACAATAAAACGGAAGATGATGCAAATGAGACGTCGGGAAAAAGGGGTCGTCATCTCGACCGGTAGACAGTTCTAATTTTGATCTTATAAAGAATTGAGGTCACACTCAGTTATCAGTTTCATAGTAGAATTTCTGCTTTCGTTGGTAAGTTTGAGTACAAGAGGGGGGATAAATCAATTTTGCGTCTCCTATAATAGTTACAATGTCTTCCGTGTGCAATTGAAGGGAGTCATGGCATTTGCGTCTCCTATTACAATTTAAAGGTCTTCGTGGGCAACTCCTGTGATATGGAAATCAAAAAATTAGAAAAATTAAAAAGGCATTTATTTTTGGTCACTATTTTGAAGCACTGCCCCTGCTAAGTCCCGTATTCCACGGCTTGCATTTCCTCAATAAAAAGCGAGTTTGTGTAGGGCAGTAAGTAGTCAAATTTATATGAAATTTTAGTGTCGAAAAGTATGCCAACAGAACTGAAGAAGAGTTTGGTTTGTTGTATGACTAGTGTCGAAAGAACTGATGTCGGATGCTTTTGTTTGTTCTTCTGAAACAATGTCGGAATTTGGACTGATCGACTTAGAATGCAGTAGTAGATTTTTAATCTCCATCTGCCTCTCTTTTCACTAACTTATTACCATGTGTATAGTATTCTGTAATCTTTCCTCTTTCTCAATGTGCCTGCCACAATCTTCATATAAAGCATTGTTCTACCTCAGTTTTGCTACATTAGTTGTCTCGGCATAGTTCCAAAATGAAGTTCCTTGCTTTCTTAATCGGAAGGATTTCTTAATCATATTGTTCGATCATGAAAACCCGCGTGGCCACCTTAACCAGAAATATATTTAAGGAACACATGGGCGAGCCTATTAGTGGGGCGGGTAATTTCCCCAACGCGGTCTTTACTTATAATTGTCTTGCTATACGATCGGGGCCGGTGAATATTTTTTTCAAGCGGCCAGATTCCACGTGGGGTCGATTCTTCAAGTAGCCAGACGATATCGCTAATTTTCAACGTAGAGTGTTTAGTTCATTTAAAGCGGATGTTGAGATTTGGAAGATATTCAGTTACGAGCCTGGTCCAGATATTTCGTTAAGCATGCAATGTTACAAAAGGCTTCTCCAGTATGAAGTAGTTTGGCGTTAAGGGATCTTCGTCTTGATAATCGCTTCGTTAATGGGCTGTTGGCCTTAAGTTTGTGAAGCCTTCTGCTTCGACAACAATGGCAGTGAAGACGTCCAAGGTCAGTTTTGCTGAACCAAGGTTTACGAGAAGAGCGAGTCTCTCAGACGCGTCTCTCCCACGCATCGCCAAAATGAGGCGCTGAGGGATAGTTGTGGCGCCATTCAACTGACTGGTTCGTTATGCTGTGTTTCAGAAGTTTTTGCTCTAGAGAGCGGTTTATTTTAAAGTTGTCTGCCGTCAAGAAAACTAGAACCGTTATCACTAAGTAAAATTCTCGGTTCTCGACGACGGGAAATGAACCTTCATATAGTCGATATGCATGATGTTGCAGTCGAGTTCCCCAAAAACTGCTGAACAAAATTTTTGATATAGTCTGTTCTAGAATGCATGCAATTTTTGTGGCGCTTGATTAAAATGAGGCTTGCTTTGAAATGAACTTGTCAAGGCTTCCTAGGCTTTCCTGCCTAAAATTTGAGGTTTCCTTATTTGGCTGTTCCTTTCTAGTGATGTAGATTTCCAATATCATTATTTTTCCTCTTATAAAAATTGCTGTTGTTTGGCGAGGTGATGAGGTTTTGTTGAGTGGGTGGGGTGGGTGGGCGCTGTCAGATGAACTTGAACAAAAATTACGGTTTCAACTCCCAGTTTAATCGAAGATCAAAATGTCGTACTGAAGGGCTCGTATCCATGTGTTGGAAAGATTGGTTTTTTGCAATTTTTGTAAATTGTGTATGGTTATTTGGTTGAGTTTCAACTCTGGTTTGTTTTGTGCATGTTTTTGTATTCTCAATCCGGTTGACTTGGTTCACAGCCATCTTGATTTTCTTTACTTTCTTTCAAGTTATACTTTTCCTAACACTTCTCCACTTAATCAAATGTTTTTTTTTTACTGGGTGAAATGAGGATGGACGAGTAATCATGAAAATCTCTGACCTTCTGATTTTCGATAAAAAGTTGGCTGATTCAAGTTTCAATCCTGAAGCTTTTTAATGAAAAGCAATAGAAAAAATGTTTTAACTGTATACGCTCTGTTTTAACATGTCAACCCTGGAATGATATACTAAATAGATGGTGCTATTTATAGTTTGAAAAGTTTTTAGACATCATTCTTAGTTTCATCTCGCTGAGAGTGGTTTTTTGTTGATTAAATCTCTTGAAATTGATAAGATCACATTTAAGTTTATTATCTACAGTTATATGCTTCCAAAAAAATCTAACATTATTGGCGTTCCTAAATCAAACAGAATTCGATGATGGGGAAAAACAAAATATGTGTTTTATTGTTACCGCTAAGTGAAAAGAATTTCATAAAGGTTAGGAGTCCCGGATACCTTTTTTCTATCTAATCAAACCAAATTTAAGTATTGCGGAAAACGGTCTTTGTAATTTTCATAATTTTCAGACCGTTGGCTTGAGTAGTCTTTCGTTAGACACTAGATACGCTAATTTTGCACTGCTTCGCGTTTGTTTCTTCTTATCGTTTTTTACTGCTTCGCTTTTGTGCTTAGGTTAGATAAATATGTTGCTTCAAATGTCCTTCCTTTGTCTGAAAAATACTGACATTGTCATATTCTGCTTCCTTATTCTTTCACAAAATTTGTGACCAAAAAAAAAGAATCTGCTATTAAGCTGGGCACTGTTTTATAGGATTATTTCGGCACTGATTGTTTTCTGTCCACAAAATCAGCGGGATTATTACACATTTTTTCCGATAAATGGAACAATCACTGGGGTTATGGTATTCACATTGTTTATTTTAAGACAATTTGGCTATCACTGAGTATTAATTGTTTAACGCATCCGTGTTCGAACGAAATAGGAATCTCGAGGCAGCTAAGCAAGAGTTCGCTTGAAACAGAAGTTGCGGTTTAAGTGCTAGTCCGCACAGTTAATAGTTTCTTCTTTAAAGTTTACTATGATATATTATTCGTGCTCCTGACATCTACACACAATGATGCGCAAATTGTATAAGAGTTTTCGATTCGGAAACAAAGCAGATCGAAATAATGCTGAACAAATTCGGTCCAGCTCCTTCAGAGAGCATATCAGAAATGAAGCGTCGCCAGTTCCCGCCAATCCGAATTCAACCAACCGACCCGCTGTCGCAGACACAAATGGTCAAGCTCCAACTGCTGGTTCGACAGTCGTTAAACCCCCAGAATGGGAGAAAGACGAAGAGTTGGTTAGAGGAAGTCATTGTCAGTTCAGAATCAAGTACTTGGGATCGAAAGAGGTTAACGACTCGCGAGGAATGCAGTTGTGCGATGACGCATTCGCCTCTCTTGCGGCGAGATATAAACAGTACAAAAAAGGAGGTTCTGGTCTTTCTTCCAAAGTGCAGATCAAACTGCTGCGCTCCAAAAATTCGAGTACAACAGTTTCCTCTGGGGGACAAAGACCGGCCAAAAATGCACTGTTTTATATTTCATCCGATGGCTTGAGAGTCGTTGACGAGAACAGCAAGTCGCTTATTGTTGACCAAACTATTGAAAAGGTTTCATTCTGTGCTCCTGTTAGAGTAAACACGAAGGGGTTCGCATACATTGCACGAGACGGGGCATCAAAAAGATGGATGTGTCACGTGTTACTTGCCAAAGATGTGAAGGTGTGTGATTAAACTTCAGTCTCGGTTATTTACAGACTTGTTAACAAAAGAGAAGCCTATTTTATATTACGAGGCTCAACGGGCGTAAATTTTGTTGGCTTAGTGGCCGCTCCAGAAATAATTTAACGCTGGGGATTACATTTTTGACTAGCTATTAAGAGTAATGAACGTAGTGGGGACTCTTATATAGGTCTTGCTGATTTTTTTTGTTTGTTTTTTTTTTGCAGGAAAAAGTCTTAAAATTGTTCACGCTCAATTTTGATTTTTCGCGGTTTGACTTGAGATTTATTTTTAAGTTGCATTTCCATTGTTAAAAAGCAGGCAAAATCCACTATTGAACAGCAAAAATGTAAAGGTCACGAAAAACGTCATCGACTTCTAATTTCGAAAATCTTATATATTAAATGAAAGTCTGAATGCGCTATGGACGCAACGTTTTGACTTTTCTATCGAGCACAACGTTTAAGAATCATTCAAAGCAACGACCAGAGAACGATGAACTCGATCCAACTTCAAGGCTAGACAGTATTGCCTATTTTTGTCTAAAATTTTGCGTTTACAGATTCATTTCAGTCTGAAATGAATAAACTGAAAACAGCAACCTCCATGCTGAGGATTTTTTTTTTCGAAAACCGATTGGGTCTATGAAATAAATATAATTAATTCAAAGTTTCATAGCTTTATCCTTCAAAGTTTTATAGCTATAAAGCTTGCTTAGAAAAATTTAAACTTTACGCGAACCGATTTGGTCTACACAATAATTTGAAAAAGTTCAAAGTTTTATAGCTTTATCATTCAAAGTTTCGTATCTTTAAAAGCTTGCTTAGAAAAACTGAAATTTTTCGCGTATCGATTCGGTCCACGAAATAACTTGAAAAAATTCATAGCTTGAATAGCTTGCTTAGAAAACTTCAAGCTTTTCCCAAACTGATTCGGTTTATAGAAATAATGAATTATTTCAAAGTTTCTAGCTGAAAAAACTTACTTAGAACTTAATTGTTTCACGAACTGTTTCAGTCTATGAACTAATTTTTTTCAAAGTTTCGTAGCTTCAAAAGCTTGGTAAGAAAAACTTAAAATTTTCGCGAACCGATTCGGTCCACGAATTAACTTGAAAAATTTCAAAGTTTCATAGCTTGAATAGCTTGCTTAGAAAACTTTAAGCTTTTCGCAAAATGATTCGGTTTATAGATAACTTGCGCAAAAAGATTCGGTTTATAGATAACTTGAATTATATCAAAATTTCTAGCTGAAAAAGCTGGATTAGGAGAACTTAATTGTTTCACGAACTGATTCAGTCTATGAATTAATTTGAAATATTTCAAAGTTTCGTAGCTTAAAAGCTTGCTTAGAAAAACCAAAAATTTTAGCGAAAAGATTCGGTCTACACATTAACTTGAAAATTAGCTTGCTTAGAAAACTTTAACTTTTGGTAAAACGATTCGGCCTACGAAGCGCATGGATTTTTTTGTAGTTCATTGCTCGATTAGCTCGCGCACAAAAACTTATTTTTGCAAAACGTTTCCTTCTAATAATTAACTTGTAGATATTTCAAGTTTTTATAGCTACAATAGCTTGATTAAGTTAATTTTGATTTTTTTCGAACAGATTCGCTCTATTAGCTCGCTTAAAAAAACCAAATTTTGGCCTTATATATTAAATGAAAGTCTGAATGGGCTATGGACGCAACGTTTTAATTTTTCTATTGAGCACAACGTTTAAGAATCATTCAAAGCAACGATCAGAGAAAGATGAACTCGATCCAACTTCAAGGCTAGACAGTATTGCCGATTTTTGTCTAAAATTTTGCGTTAACAGATTTATTTCAGTCTGAAACGAATAAACTGAAAACAGCAACCTCCATGCCGAGGAAATTGTTTTTTCGAAAACCGATTGGGTCCATGAAATAAATATAATTAATTCTAAGTTCATAGCTTTATCATTCAAAGTTTTATAGCAATAAAGGTTGCTTAGAAAAACTTAAACTTTTCGCGAACCGATTCGGTCTACACTATAATTTGAAAAAATTCAAAGTTTTATAGCTTTGCCATTCAAAGTTATATAGCTATAAAGCTTACTTAGAAAAACTGAAACTTTTCGCGTATCGATTTGGTCCACGAATCAACTTGAAAGTTTTTATAGCTTCAATAACTTGCTAAGAAAACTTCAAGCTTTTCCCAAACTGATTCGGTTCATAGATATATTGAAGTATTTCAAAATTTCCAGCTGAAAAACTTGCTTAGAACTTAATGGTTTCACGAATTTTTTCAGTCTATGAACTAAATTGAAATATTTCAAAGTTTCGTAGCTTTAAAAGCTTGGTTAGAAAAACTTAAACTTTTGGCGAACCGATTCCGTCCACGAATTAACTTGAAAAATTTCAAAGTTTCATAGCTTGAATAGCTTGCTTAGAAAACTTTAAGCTTTTCGCAAACTGATTCGTTTTTTAGATAACTTGCGCAAAGAGATTCGGTGTATAGATAACTTGAATTATATCAAAATTTCTAGGTGAAAAAGCTTGATTAGGAGAACTTAATTGTTTCACGAACTGATTCAGTCTATGAACTAATTTGAAATATTTCAAAGTTTTGTAGCTTAAAAGCTTGCTTAGAAAAACCGAAACTTTTCGCGAACCGATTCGGTCTACACATTAGCTTGAAAAATAGCTTGCTTAGAAAACTTTAACTTTTGGTTAAACGATTCGGCCTACGAAGCGCTTGGATTTTTTCGAAGTTCATTGCTCGATTAGCTCGCGCACAAAAACTTGTTTTTGCAAAACGTTTCCTTCTAATAATTAACTTGTAGATATTTCAAGTTTTTATAGCTACAATAGCTTGATTAAGTTAATTTTGATTTTTTGAACAGATTCGCTCTATTAGCTCGCTCCATTTGCTCGCTTAAAAAAACCAAATTTTGGCCTTATATATTAAATGAAAGTCTGAATGGGCTATGGACGCAACGTTTTAATTTTTCTATTGAGCACAACGTTTAAGAATCATTCAAAGCAACGATCAGAGAAAGATGAACTCGATCCAACTTCAAGGCTAGACAGTATTGCCTATTTTTGTCTAAAATTTTGCGTTTACAGATTCATTTCAGTCTGAAACGAATAAACTGAAAACAGCAACCTCCATGCTGAGGAATTTTTTTTTTCGAGAACCGATTGGGTCTATGAAATAAATATAATTAATTCAAAGTTTCATAGCTTAATCATTCAAAGTTTTATAGCAATAAAGGTTGCTTAGAAAAACTTAAACTTTTCGCGAACCGATTCGGTCTACACTATAATTTGAAAAAGTTCAAAGTTTTATAGCTTTGTCATTCAAAGTTATATAGCTATAAAGCTTGCTTAGAAAAACTTAAACTTTTCGCGAACCGATTCGGTCTACACTATAATTTGAAAAAGTTCAAAGTTTTATAGCTTTGTCATTCAAAGTTATATAGCTATAAAGCTTGCTTAGAAAAACTGAAACTTTTCGCGTATCGATTCGGTCCGCGAAATAACTTAAAAATTTTGATAGCTTCAATAACTTGCTAAGAAAACTTCAAGCTTTTCCCAAACTGATTCGGTTTATAGATATATTGAATTATTTCAAAATTTCTAGCTGAAAAACTTGCTTAGAACTTAATTGTTTCACGAACTTTTTCAGTCTATGAACTAAATTGAAATATTTCAAAGTTTCGTAGCTTTAAAAGCTTGGTTAGAAAAACTTAAACTTTTGGCGAACCGATTCCGTCCACGAATTAACTTGAAAAATTTCAAAGTTTCATAGCTTGAATAGCTTGCTTAGAAAACTTTAAGCTTTTCGCAAACTGATTCGGTTTATAGATAACTTGAATTATATCAAAATTTCTGGGTGAAAAAGCTTGATTAGGAGAACTTAATTGTTTCACGAACTGATTCAGTCTATGAACTAATTTGAAATATTTCAAAGTTTCGTAGCTTAAAAGCTTGCTTAGAAAAACCGAAACTTTTCGCGAACCGATTCGGTCTACACATTAGCTTGAAAAATAGCTTGCTTAGAAAACTTTAACCTTTGGTAAAACGATTCGGCCTACGAAGCGCATGGATTTTTTTGAAGTTCATTGCTCGATTAGCTCGCGCACAAAAACTTATTTTTGCAAAACGTTTCCTTCTAATAATTAACTTGTAGATATTTCAAGTTTTTATAGCTACAATAGTTTGATTAAGTTAATTTTAATTTTTTTTTTCGAACAGATTCGCTCTATTAGCTCGCTCCATTAGCTCGCTTAAAAAACCAAATTTTGGCCTTATATATTAATTGAAAGTCTGAATAGGCTATGGACGCAACGTTTTAATTTTTCTATTGAGCACAACGTTTAAGAATCATTCAAAGCAACGATCAGAGAAAGATGAACTCGATCCAACTTCAAGGCTAGACAGTATTGCCTATTTTTGTCTAAAATTTTGCGTTTACAGATTCATTTCAGTCTGAAACGAATGAACTGAAAACAGCAACCTCCATGCTGAGGAAAAAATTTTTTTTTCGAGAACCGATTGGGTCTATGAAATAAATATAATTAATTCAAAGTTTCATAGCTTAATCATTCAAAGTTTTATAGCAATAAAGGTTGCTTAGAAAAATTTAAACTTTACGCGAACCGATTTGGTCTACACAATAATTTGAAAAAGTTCAAAGTTTTATAGCTTTATCATTCAAAGTTTCGTATCTTTGAAAGCTTGCTTAGAAAAACTGAAACTTTTCGCGTATCGATTCGAACAACGAAATAACTTGAAAAAATTCATAGCTTGAATAGCTTGCTTAGAAAACTTTAAGCTTTTCCCAAACTGATTCGTTTTTTAGATAACTTGCGCAAAGAGATTCGGTGTATAGATAACTTGAATTATATCAAAATTTCTAGGTGAAAAAGCTTGATTAGGAGAACTTAATTGTTTCACGAACTGATTCAGTCTATGAACTAATTTGAAATATTTCAAAGTTTCATAGCTTAAAAGCTTGCATAGAAAAACCGAAACTTTTCGCGAACCGATTCGGTCTACACATTAGCTTGAAAAATAGCTTGCTTAGAAAACTTTAACTTTTGGTTAAACGATTCGGCCTACGAAGCGCATGGATTTTTTTGAAGTTCATTGCTCGATTAGCTCGCGCACAAAAACTTATTTTTGCAAAACGTTTCCTTCTAATAATTAACTTGTAGATATTTCAAGTTTTTATAGCTACAATAGCTTGATTAAGTTAATTTTGATTTTTTTCGAACTGATTCGCTCTAGTAGCTCGCTCCATTAGCTCGCTTAAAAAACTACATTTTCGCAAAATTTTTCATTCTAAACAACTCGAAATATTTCTCTTGTTTATAGCTTCATTAACTTGCTTCTGTAAAATGTGAGTGTTTTTGCCAACCAATTCGTTCCATGAAATTCCTTGAAATTTTGAAGTTTAATAGCTTGAACAGCTTGCTTAGAAAATTTTTTTGCGCTCCGATTCGCTTCACGAAATTAACTTGAATTATTTAAGGTTTCGTAGCTTGAATAGCTTGCTCAGAGAAAGTTTCATTTTTTCGAGAACTGATTCGTTCTATGATACGTAAAATTTTCAAACTGATTTACGATCTGGCTCAGCTTGAGATTTCGAAGTTTTATAACTTGATGAGAACAGCAAATTTTTTTGCGAGCTGACCGATTACTGGAGAAAGGCTGCTTGCTAGTGGAAACTAATTATCAGATATCCCAGTGAAATAAAAGTTTTGCCTATTGATCCAGTTTTCTCAAATTGGGTTAACTTCAACAAAGATTGTCCTTCATAAATTGTTTTACAAATTCAAAGAGCGTTGAAGTCATCTATTTTTTTCTTCGAAATTCAAAAGTTCAAGATTTTTGAATAAAAACAAGTCAGTTGTTTCAGTTTCATTGCGTTCATTACTCTTTTCCAACTGTCAATTGGCTTTGTTTTACACTATCGAGCAGCGTAGTATCTTTTTCACCCTTGCGATAAGCAAGGGTAATGCAATCGAGTACAAGATATCTTTCCCGTTAATAACTTTGTTCTTAGGATCGGATCTCCATTTCTACTCAAGTTGGACGTTTATCAGTTATAGTTTAGCAGCTATATTAAACAGATTTTTTTAACTATGGCTCAGTGAGTAAAAATAGTTCATGGTTTCCTGGTTTTTACGAACGCCTAAATTTTCTGTTAGAATTATTCCTGAAATAAAAAAATTGCTTTATTTTTTCAGTTTTTTTCGGATTCATGATTTCGGAATTATCATTTTTTTATATCTATAAGTGCGTGAAATTAGTTTTAATTTCATTTTGTTTGCTGTTTTTGTGGTTTTGGATGGAGCAGCTTTCATTAAATCGATTTCAGTTGATGGGGCACATCGTATTGTTTTAGTATATCCAAAAGATTTCGAATAAATAATTCGTGAATTTCCAGGTTTTTTTTTTGAAATTGTGACTGGACTGTTTTTTCTGCGAAGATTTGTGGCGAGTGTCGCACGAGATTCAGGAGTATGGCTTTTTGCTGAAGTTTCTGAAAATAAATGAACTCAATTTACTTTCAAACTTCCTAATTTTTTAATGTTATTTTTTTTTTGGTGTGATCCAGCTCTCTTAACTTTGCGTAGCAACGTTTTATTCGATAAGTTTATTGTAATTTGGTTATTTTTGTCAGGTTAAGATTTTTTCAGATTTTCTGCAAGTTCTTTTTTGTGGAAATGGATTGAAGTTTTTGAATTCAAGTTTTCATTTTTATCATAGATTATAGCAAATGACGGAAAGGGATTTTTCTTATGCCCAATTGCTCGTGTTGGATATGCAGGCTCTTTGGTTGCAAGATTTTAAAGAAAGTTTCTGAAAACGTTTAGGAACTTTTGGACCTTGGTGTTTTTGACCAACATTTTTTTTTATCTGTTCCATCTTTTGTTAATGATTCGGAATCCTCCTTATGCAATTTTTTTTTTATATAAATTTTTTTTTTACTACTCCTTAGGTTTTTTAAACAGAAATTATTAAGATTAATGAGCGTAATGAAGACTCTTACATAGTTCGTGGTGATTTTTTCTTTCAGGAAAAAGTTCTAAATTGCTCTTATAACTACAGATGTGCATTCATACACATATATGCATTTATAAATGCTCCTAGACATCTATGCACATTTTGAGTTCAATATTTTTTCATCTGCTGAAAGTTAGGTAAATTGCACTCTCCGAATATGAATGTGGAAATGGCACAAAAAACGTGAACGACTTCTTGTTTTGAAATGGGAGTTTTTAGGTTTCCCACCGGAATAAAATTTTTACTTATTGATCCAGTTTTCTCAAATTAAGCTAATTTTTTTAAATCAAAAAGTGTCAATCATAAATTCGTCTTGAAGTTCAGAGAGGGTTAGTGTCATATATTTTTTTACTTTGAAATTCGAAATGTGCAGTTTCTCAAAACGAACAAGTCAGTGTTTTTCTGTTTCCAACTTTCATTACTTTTTTTCCAACTGCCATTTGGTTATGTTTTAAGTTTTTGTTTTGGGACACAATATATTTCAATTTCGAATTTTTATGTTGTATTGAATTTGTGTTGAAATTGAGTATCAGTCGTGACCAATGTAAGTAACTTGTAGAGTTTGTTGTTATTTTTCATTTTCTATTCGATAGCTTGCAATGCTATTCTTGCGTTGTAAGACAAGTGTTGCGAAGCTTCGCTTCGGTTCTCCGATTTCCTCTGTCCTAAATGGTCTTAGCTCCTGTAAAAGGGAATCAATTTTTCCCGTTTTTAAATATCTTCATCTAGTTTGAAAACAGTAGATTTAGGATTTGTCATCATACTCTGCTTTAAGTAAATGGTTTACTCGATCCTCTTCTGAGCAATTCAACGCACTCCAGTCAATTTAAGATTTTTATTTGAAGTCAGACTGAACTTGCTGGACGATTAATTGTTGTCGAAAATATTTTTGCTGATATGTAAAAAAAACAGTAAAAAAGTCCCCCTCCCCAAAAAAATTAACATGTTTCAAAAAATTCAAATTAAAAATTTGAAAAAGATTGATTTTTCGTTTAATATTTAATTGAATGTTATTAAATGTTGTTTAAATGACTATAATTGGAGCATTTTGTGCTACCTGGCAGCAGCAGGCTCTTAATATACAGGAAATTTTAATATTGCAGGGAGAAGGCGAGAGACTCAGTCATGCAGTTGGTTGTGCGTTCAGTGCTTGCCTGGAGGCCAAAAAGCAGCGAGATGCTCTCTGCAGTGTAGAAGCCAACTTCCATAATAAGAACAAGTCAGTGTTTGAGAAACAAGGCACATTCAAGGAGCAGAAGACACCGGCCTCAAATGAGCCGAGAAGCTCTAAGGATGAGACCAAAAAGGAGTTTTCTTCTAAACGAGTATTCGGAGTTGTGAAAAACGCAATTCCAGAAGACGAGGAGTGGGAGGAACCATCACAAGAAGCAGCTCCTCGAAACTCTTCAGCAGGTCCCGTCGATACTCCCGACAGTGCAATAGAACGAAAACACGCGCCTGCCGCCATGCTGGAACGAATGCAATCTATGAAAGAATTTTCGAAACTCAACAGCAAACACGACTTGCCTTTTAGTGATAGGAGCAAACGGCGAAACATGTCCATGCAAATAAAACAGTCAGTGTCCGTTACAGAAGGAATGAGAACTTTGGCTGAGAGACCTGGACTTCCCAGACAGCAGTCTTTGTGTATAGATGATTCTAGAATGTTGAACCAACCTAGTGACATCGCAAGTTCGTCACGAACAGAACAGACTAATAAATCGATGATGTCACACCCGTTGAACAGTTTCGACGATTCGTTCACATCTCATGGTCAAACTAGGTCGACAAACATTTCCAATTCAACGAGTGTGCCACTTTTTGCTGCGAATTCAGGAAACCATGTCCAACAATCGAGTACAAATAAAATTGAAAATACTGCTCCAACACATGCTGAAGTTCAACCGGGTTCAAGTGACAAAGTCTCCAACCAGTCGGAACTATCATCAACAAACCCTTTCTTCATCTTTGTGTCTTCTTCTAATAACACAACCCAACAGCAGACGACGACTGATTTGAGCTCACCGTGGACTACCGCGGAAACAAACCAGATGAATAGTTCGTACGCGCCAACCAACCCTTTTCACGAGCAGAAGAGCTCTGTGTATAGTCTGTGAAAATAGTTCGTCTGTGCTATTTGTCTCACTCATTTGAAGTACACTTAACGCTTACAGGTTGTTTTTTCTTCTTAACTTGCTTTGGAAAATGACTCACTAGAAAATGAGAAAAGTGGAACTATTCTATTTTTTTTGCTCATTTTGATAATTTTACAAGCAGTACAGAAAAAAGTTCTTTGGCACTTTGGATTTTCCTTGGCACTTTGTTCCACAACTCTTAGGAACTGTTTTTGATATACCTACGCTTTCATTAACCATCAGTACATAGTACAGAATTTTGAATTATAATTAGGATTAGATGTCAAAAGAGTACTAGACTTCCGTGCGACTCGAAAGCGTTGATATTTAGCAGTTATTGTTTTCAAGCGTGTGACATGCACATAAAAATAGATCTTTTCTGTTATACGGCCCAAAATTTATTTTTTTTTATCGTTTTGCAAATTCGATCATAATGCTTGGGTCTTATTGCTTGAAAAAAATTTCAGCGACCGAAAATTTGGACTTTTTTCACAAACAAGCTCAATTAATTAACTATTCGTATTTCTGGGCTGTATTACAGAAAAGACCCTAAAAATCACTGGTGCTGAAGATTTTTTGGTGTGATAAGGTTTCCATATTTCCTGCTTGATGGTCGTAATTTTAAAACATAGTTATTGTTCGAGTGAGTGTCATCTTACTTCGAGGATTTTTCACTCTGGTAAAAAAAGATCTAATTCGTGTTTATTTTTTAAAACTTTTCAGAGTGAAAATCGTGATATGAAATTGCGAAGCTCTATTTTTCTATGACATCCTAATTTTTTGCTTTTATATGTAGTTTACTTGTCTAATGTATACGCATCGAAGCATAATCAGTATTTAAATATCTCTATTTTATGTTGTTTGTAAATTTTATATTGAAATTTGAATTACGTGATTTGTTCGGATCCAAACAGTCAAATGGTGAAAGGTCGAGTTCGAAATCTCTCCAAATGTTGCTCTGAAGGTCCTAATCGAATTGTAAATTTAATGTCCTGGCAATTATCTCTTTTTGCAGTTTTTAAGAATAATGAACGTAGTGAGTACTCTTATAGAGGTCTTTCTGATTTTTTTTGTTTTTTTTTTAGTCTCAGTTTTAATTTTTCGCGGTTTGACTAGTGATTTCTTTTTAAGTTTAGTGCATTTCCATTGTTAAAAGGAAGGCAAACTCCACTATCGAACAGCAAACTTTAAAGGTCACCAAAAACGTGATCGACTTTTGATTTCGCAAATGGAAATTAATTATCAGATTTCCCAGCGAAATAAAAGTTATGTATTTATCCAGTTTTCTCAAATTGGGTTAATTTTAACAAAAAAGTGTCCATCATAAATTGTTCTACAAATTCAAAGAGCTTTAAGGCCATCTATTTTTTTCTTCGAAACTCAAAAGTTGCAGGCTCTTGAAAAAAACAAGGTCAGTTTTTTTTTTAGTTTCCTGGCGTTCATTACTCTTTTCCAACTGTTAGTTGGGTATGTTTTACATTAGTTAAGCAACTAGTTTGCGGAACTTAAGGCTGGTTGACACCATAAGTAATCGAAAGGTAGGTTGCGAACCTTGGTGAACAATTGTGCGCCGTTTCGATTTCTTTTTCTTGCGGGAGGCAACTGATGGGAGAACTAAGCCACCCTACCAGGTTGCTGTGATTATTTATGGTCATTAATCTGGGTGTCGCTTAGCCTCTGTAGCGTAGGTAAGCAAGATCTTGTATCGGAATAAAACTTCTTTGATATCATATACCAACAAGAGTGAAAGGCTGCTGTGCAAGTAGCACAGTCTTCCTATCAAACTGATTTAAGACGTTTTTTTTTTTAGAAAAGGTGATTTATTTAGGTGAAAATTCAAGAAAGGGTGGTATGTTATGTTAAAATAACATTGAAATTAATGTAGAATCTAACTTGGGAGGCCATCTTCTCATCAGTTTTCGTACAATTGTCTGAAAAACTAAAAAAAAAAATCTGACCAGTTTTTCGTCTTCGAGACAACTTTTTTGATCTTTTGTAATCTCAATCACAAACAATATTGTTTTGAAATAGTATCACGCTTTCTTTAAGGTTGTCAAAATTGGCAGAAAAAAAGGACTCTGTGTCATAGTTGCTTCCTGTAAATCTCAGTGACTGGGTCGGAACAAACATGTTGCTCCGTTTCGCCAGGCTGTTTATTCTCCGTTTCGACTGGATTTCGTTCCATTTAATTTATGCATGGTGTATGTTGTCTTAACTAATATACGTATTTGAGTTTTTTTTAAAAAAATGTAGAATGATGCCGCAATCAACCGCATAGGCCGCGCTTTTAGGTTGTCTGAAATCCCATGGAAAATTTTTCAAGTAGGCTTGAAATACTAATTGTATTATAGAATAAAGTGTATTTTTAAACCCCGAGAGGTCGAGGGGAAACATAATCAACTTAAGTGGCAATTTGCATGAATTTAAGTCGTTTTTTGTCTGTCTTTTTTCATTTTAGCACTTCAAATTTTGAATACTATTGAAATATTATTCCATGTGTAAAACAGAGCTAAAGCATATCTTGAAGAAAGCAGGATTTGAGTGAGTTTGACGGCGTTAAATCATTTTTTATTTGATGTTGAACAAGTTAGTAACGGTTGGTGTAGGGCATAGCTCAATAGTTCTGTTGCATTTTGCTGTATTGACTATATGACGATCAGGTAATTTGCATTTGTTTGGCAGAAAGCTTTTTCTCTACTTTGGTGGCACTGATTCACTTGCGGTTTTTCGATTAGACTGTTACCATTAACAATGGTAAAAAGTCTTATGATCGCAAGTGCTGCTTTGATTTTCGCATTTTAAATGCTGACTGAGTAATTCAATTGAGTTTTGGCTGTGTTAGGCCCCGAGAGAGTAAAGATAAACGAAGTAAGAAAGCGAGCGATTTTCTTATGAAAGTGATTTTTCATGCTTTCTAACTTGGTTTTGAGTGTAATAACCAAATGGATATGTTTTACACGAGCAAAGTTTGTAATATGATATTTTTTCGGCGAAAAGGTGGCTTTTTGTGTTCAATCCTGTTCACTTCTTTTAGTAATTGGTTATTTCGTTTAATACTAGGTATATCCGCTTCATTAAGGCCAATTCATTGCTGCCTGGCAAGTTTCGACTTTTGTTAACTTTTATTACCATTGCGATAAGCAAGTGTATTGCAATCGGGTACGAGAGTTTTTTTTTCCGTAAACAACTTTGTTCGCTGAATGGTCAAAATTAAAAATGGTAAATTTAGGTTCAGTTCATGAATTCCAATTTTTCTGCGTCTCGTGCACACTTGGTCTGTAGGTAACGAATGCACCTGAGACGGCAAAGGTTCTTGGGTTCGAATCTAACAGGACCTGTTTTTTTTTCAAACGGGAAATAGCCTGTTTCAAAAACAAATTGTCTGCTTATTATTATCTGTTTGTTTTGTCGGCTTAGTTGCCATATTGTAGATCCGACTTACCTCTGTTGTTTGTAATTTCACTAACCTTTACATAGTACATTTTCTTTTGTTAGTTTTTTTGCTTAAAATCTTTATTTGCCCAAAAATCTTTTTTCGGCGAAAATTATATCGGTTTAATTGGCCTTCTACTTATTTCACCTTCTACTGTCTTGACATGTATTTGTTTCAAAACTAGCCTTATTCATTTAGATAGATCTAATTTTTTCGTATTTTGATTTTTTCTTGTTTTGTATCACAAGTGCTGCGAAGCTCAGCTTCGCCTTTATGTAGATACTTTTGTTCTAATTGATCCTCAAAATTTTTTACCTACAGTACTTGTAAAACTATGGTGGTTCGGAAATTGAAATGCCAATTTAGTTAAAATAAAACGCATCAAAGAATCAGTTTCTAAAGCATGCGTAGTGTGGGCGACGAATTAATCTGGCATAGAAACCTTTTCAAGTTGAAGCAATAATTGCAATGCGTGTGTTGTGGTGAGGAGTTTCGAAAAAGTTTCACGAGAAGCTGTTTCGACACCTTAAAGGGCATTCGAGGCATTAAGTGTCTTGCCTTGATGCGAAAAGTCTTGTTACTGTTCGAGACGCATGAAAGTAGTGCTATCTAAGCAGCACTCGATTAGTTGTTAAAGCAACTCACTCTTGATCTTTAGTTTCCTTATGTTAGAATTGCAGCTTCGCATCCATTTACCAAGTTTTTTTTTTGCTTATTATATATAATTTTTCCGTTTTTGAGTTTCAAATGGTATGTTCAGGTCTCGATTCGATCATACATTATTACGCTTGCGATTATCAAGCGTTATCATATAGGAACAGACTTTTCCGGGAATTTTTTTTCTCAATTTGTTGTAAATTTAACTCAGATGCGGTATAATTTTTGTTAATTTTCTTTTTCGTTTTTCTAAGAGTTGATGAACGTAGTTCAGACTCATATATAGGTCGCTGCGATTTTTTTTCGCGGTGTGACTTTTGGTTTCTTTTTATGTTCAGTTCATTTCCTTTGTTACTGGGAAAGCAAACTTCCATCATGGAACAGCAAAAAGGTAAAGGTCACGAAAACTATGATCGACTTCTAGTATCGGAAGTGGAATATAACTATCAGATTTCAAAGCAAAACAAAAATTTGACCTTTTGATCCAGTTTTATCAAATTTGGTTAATTTTATCCAAAAAGTGCTTTAAGGCCACCTTTTTTTCAAATTTTTAAGCTGAGATCTTTTTTTCAAAAAACAAGTCAGTATTCTTTTTCTGTTTACTTGCGTTCCTTGACTCTTTTCCAACTGTCCTGTGGCTGTGTTTTTTCGATGAAACGATCGCGGTTTATGTCGTTTCTGCTTAGTCATCTTATATTACGTCTTTCGAAGAGAGAAAAAAGTTTATTATGAAAAAGCATTTTTGGCGCAAGGTGTCTGCTCAAGAATTATCAGTATTTTTACGGGTTTGTGAGTTTCGATGATATTTTAACATTCAGTAGTTGATTTGGAAAAACTTATGTGTCATTATGCTAGTTTTTGATTAACGTGTGCGTAATGTGATGGAAAAATTGGTATAATGTGGATTTTTCAGCTGCTCGTTGAAAAATCATTCAAAATGGAGTAGAGGCAAAGTGATTGTGATATTGCGTGATGGATGAAGGAAATATTTTCCCGAAAAGTTGGTATATCTGTTTTTTCCAAAAGCCATAGTGTGGATATAGTTAGTTTTATGCTAGCAGTACTGGATGACGGTTAAACTCAACCTCGACAGTTTTTGTTGCGTGTGTCTGTTAAGTGCAGCTTCGCCTCTGTGTGCGAAGAAGTCGTGTTAAAGTCTGGGCCTCGAAAAAATCGGAGGTCCAGATTATCTACTGGTTACGTTGCCAGTGAATAAACCTTTTGTTGTGCTTTTTTGATTTTTTGATAAAAAATTCACTCTGAACATATACTGGGCGACATAAAACCCAGTAAGAATCAGCACCACCAGAAATATTCAGCTTGACATATATTTTTTTATAATTTCAACAGCTTGAAAAACCTGAAATTTTTTTAATGAAAACTGTGAAACGAATGTCAGAAACGTGATTGAATTTTGCTGAAAGAAAAGCCATTGGAATGCTTATAGCAAATTTGTCTGGCAATCAGGTATCAAAATTTTTTGGATGTCACGGCGGGGAGTAAAGTTTATCCTACGCAACATTAAGACGAGTTCTTAGAAGCTACGGTAAACGTGGTCGTCGACCGTATCGTGGAATGGCATAGGTACAGCGCCATAAAAGAGCAAGATTAGAATGGGCAAGAAGTGTTTTGAAATGGAGAAGACAAGATTGGGCCAAAGTATCTTTCTCTGATGAGTTAGGTTTGCTTTGAATCCGACGACCGGAGAGTACTTGTGTTTAGAGTAAAAGGATCTCGTCGAACCCAAAAAATGTTATCGAGTACGAAAGATAATCAATTACCTATTGATCCATTTTTCTTCAATTGGGTTAACTTTATCAACAAATTGTCAATCATAAGTTAAAGAAATTTAAAGAGCTTTAAGGCCTACTTTTTTCTTCAAAATTCGAAAGTTGAGAATTTTTCAAAAAACAAGTCTGTATTCTTTTTCTTGCTAATTTGCGTTCATGGACTCTTTTGGAACTGTCTGTTGGCTATAATTTCAATTTCAAATCTTCAATTTGAAAAATTTGTTCCTTGAAACTTATAGACAACTGGAAAATAAGCACCATCAGATTTTTTGAATTATGACCGCGAGAAAACCAGAGCAAAAACGAGAGTTTGCCGATGTATTTTTCTGTTAAAACAAACAAGATTTTAAAATATGTTTCAAAGAAAGTCATCAAAGCGTGTATAATTTTGATCGACAACATTTTGATTCCAAATCAGCACGCTTTTTCGACTGAATTTAGGTTGGAGTTCTTTTGAAATTTTGTAACCCTTTGTTCGCGATAATGAAAGTTAGTTTTAATTTAATTATCACTAATTTATCAATCGATTTAATTATCAGTAATTTTCAGTTTTAGTGCCCTTTTTATGTTCTTATTAACCCAGAGGGATCCCAAAAGAATGGTATAGCTTTCCTGTGGTGGAAATTTTGCCTGTCGAACTTGTCTTCGTAGAACTTAAAACTCAAATTGAAGTTTTCCGTTCTACTGCTCTGTGCAGGGGCTAACTTGCAATGCAACCTAAGTTTTCTGGATTATTGTTGAATATACCGATACCGTTTTTATTAGCTTTCTCTCGAATAATCGCTGTTTTCTTGTAGTCAAGTCGACACATGAGTTTTTTGGCGAGATTTTGTATTTTTGAGATCAAATTGTACCAACCATGTAACTAGAGGGGGTTGCTTATGAACCTGGTATCGTTTTAGAGGAGTTATGACCAGCCAAAGACAAGGGACAATCGGTGTTCACTAAGTGTTAGTGAGCGTGTAATCGGCCGTAGTCTCAGATCTGTTTAGAGTCAGAGAAAACTACTCGTGCTAGTGGACAGAAAAGTCTCTTGCGCGTTTACTCGACTTCAGTTCAAACAACTGCCAGATGCTGTTTTAATTTTGTGTTCTTCATCATTAAAATACTTTTGGTTTATTAATCAATATAAAAGTATCTGTATCGTTGTACAGTAGCGTTATACATGAACTACTGTTCGTCATAACCTCAAAATCATTCAAACATGGCTCCAACAATTATAGCTGCGAAACTTCTAGAAAAGCACGAAACTAGACCTCTAGAGAGCACAACAACATATAGGGACAGCAATCACGTGTTACTCTAGATTCCGATAGCTCCCTTTGGTTTCCGCTCAAAATTTATCAAATTCGCACAAAAATTAAAGCAACTGACCGTGCAATTACGCAGAAGAGGACTAATCTAGTTTTGATTTTAGACGAACCAACTTTTTGCTTTTAAAGGCGACTATAATTCTGTTGTTTTTATCCTAACTTTATACGAAGGGCTTGGCTTATCTTCTCTTTTCATTTCAAACTAATTACGGTTACGGCTACAAAGACATACATTTTACTTTTCAAATCCTTTTACTATTCTGCTTTTTGAGCATTTATTTCTTCAATTTACTTTTCTTTTTTGAGCACTTAACTTCTTGGAATTACGTTATTTTTCCGTATTTACTGTTTCGTTCATTTATCGAATTTTGCCGAGCTTCGGCTTAATAGCGGCTGCAATATTTTTGGGGTTACAATGTCAAAGCAACCAATTGTGAAATTACTACCAGACGAGGAGTTGGGCTACGGGGGCTCGAAGAAGAAGACGAAAGGCCCTCGACTGGAGTTTGTTGACCCGCATTCTCCGGTTTGCAGGGAAGAAGATGATGAACCTATTGAGGTTCTGAGCAGTGGGTGCGATGGCTTGGAAGTTGCGAAGGAGGATGAGGTGGAATTACCGGTATGGTCTCTTGTCTTACGTGTGCTCGCGGTGTTGACTTTACTTTACTTTTTCGTGTGTTCTCTCGACCTTATGGGAAGTTCGTTCAAATTGCTCGGCGGCAAGGAGGCCGGTCGTGTCTTTAGTCAGAACAAGATCATATCGAATCCGGTGGCCGGGCTCATGATCGGCGTGCTGGTCACAGTGCTGCTCCAGTCTTCGTCAACGAGTAGTTCTCTTGTCGTCGCAATGGTCGCTGGTCGACTGATGAACGTAGAGACAGCGGTGCCAATCATCATGGGCGCGAACATTGGCACCTCTGTGACAAATACAATCGTAGCTCTCAGCCAGATCCAAGATCGCGAGATGTACAAGCGAGCGTTCGCGGCTGCCACTGTCCATGACATGTTTAATATTTTAACTATGTCGCTTCTGCTTCCGATTGAATGGGTCACTCACAGTCTGACTAAATTGTCTTCGCTGATTGTGAGTTCCTTGCCGATGAAACCAAATGAAAACGCGGACGTTGAATTGCTCTCGAGGTTCACAGATCCTTTAACTGACTTGGTAGTGATGGTGAACAAGACGTATATAAAAGAGATCTCTAAAGGTCATGAAGTTGGAGAGGGCGAGCAGGTACTGAAGAGATTTTGCGATGATGGAATGGTGGTCGAAGACATGGAAAGAGAGAGGTGCGACAGTTTGTTCAGTCAATTCGATCTGTCTGACAAAGCTGCTGGCTCAGTTTTACTGACACTATCTCTTGTTGTAATGTTCATTTGTCTGATTCTGATGGTCAAAGTTTTGAAGTCGGTGTTTCAAGGTCACATATCGAAGGTCATAAACAAGACGGTAAATGCAGGGTTCCCTGGGAGGCTCAATTTTCTGACTGGATACGTTGCTATTGTCGTGGGAGCTATAATGACTGTTCTTGTGCAAAGCAGCTCTATATTTACTTCGACTTTGACGCCGTTGGTTGGTCTGAACATAATCAGTCTGGAACGGGCGTTCCCGTTGACGCTTGGCTCAAATATTGGGACTACTGTAACAAGTATGCTTGCAGCTCTGGCTAGTGATTCGAATTTCGATGCGGCGCTTCAGATCAGTTTCTGTCATTTGCTCTTCAACGTTATCGGGATCCTGATTTGGTACCCGATTCCTGCGATGCGGAAAATCCCACTTAACTGTGCGAGGCAACTAGGTAGGACGACCAGCAAGTACAAGTGGTTCGCTTTCGCCTACGTTTTTGTAGTGTTCGTATTGGTTCCTGGAATCATTTTCGCTCTGTCCATATTGGGAACCATTTACGTTATTGGATTTTGCAGTATAATTGCCTCAATTGCCATAGTATGTGCCGTATTGAAACTTCTTCAAAGGAAATGGCCCTCAATCCTCCCTACGAAGCTTCGAGATTTCAAGTTTCTGCCCAAGTGGATGCGATCGCTAGAGCCTGTGCATAATGTTGGAGTTGCGTTTGTGGATAAATTTAAGCGGTGTAGACGAACTCGTGGAACTATAACCCGGCGTCGAACGACAACTGAATCGTCATTGCATTTGACTTGCGAAGTCGAGCACGGATTAGAGGTTGAGAATAGCGGAGAACTGCATGACGAAACGGATGGTGAGAAAGTAAAGAACAGTTTATACATAACACAGCTACTGCAAGAAGGAAAAGGAAAGCTGGTGGTCGGAGATGGAAAAGTGCACCAGGGGAAAGAGGCGACTGAACAAATGGGAACGGACTCGGGAGTCCCGAGCAGCAATTGCAGTTCAAGCAGCCGAAATGATCTCATCGACGAGCACAGCTCACGACGTGCTGGCAGTAGTCATGTAACGACTCTTTAGTGCGGTGTGTGTGACTGTTTGAGCATCTGAAATTTCGAATGGACATTTTCTTGGTTTGGTTTTGCCTTGTTAGATCTCTTTAAGCGTCCCTTATTTGTTAGAAACTTAGTTGGTGAAACGGTAGAATGGAACACAGCAAAGATGAGGGAGCACTACTGCAAAATGGCAATTGGATTTAACAATGTATTTAGTTTTCTTGACAAATAACAACTTAAAAAATCTCTGATTTATTTTTGGTTTTTAAACTGGAGCAAGCGAGAGTCAACTTCTACAAGCAACCTATGTCGTTGGGACCAGCAGATTAACACCAAATGCTGACAATGACATGAAACAATATCCGACAGAACATACTACTTGGGACTCCAATTTGACTGCGATTGTGGTGTAATGAATGACTTTGCTTAAGTAACCATGCGTTGTTTGCTTGTATTGAGTTGATTATTCATCCCTTCATTTGTTTTTCTCTCGAGCAGTCCACTACTCAGAATTTTCAGATGCACAATTTTTTCGAGCAGAAAGATCGTTGGTGGATAAATGATAATGGAATTAGTTTTGGTACTTTGGTAATTTATAGAGACGCTCAACTAACTAGTTGCTCTGTCAATTAGCTGGTCAATTATCAAGGGTAACCTATAACTGATCAAGTTGCACAGTATGTTTTGACAACAGTAGCACGAAAATTTAAAAGAAGAAGAATAATCAGCTTCAAAATAGGGTAAAATTTTCTCAAAATGGGTAAAACAAGATACCCAAGCCCTTCTTTGCATAGTTACGGTTTCAGTTAAAATAACTACTAATACTTATGTTTAACACTACTTTATTTTAATTGATGTTTAAATCCGTCAAGCAAATAGCGTCAAAGAAAAAGTGATCCCAATCTTTCATAAGTTATTTTCGGCATTTTATTTTTTCGAGATTTGACAGCAAACTCCAGTTGATCATTTTGGCTCATTCAATAATAATTTATACGAAGAAATTTGAAATTCAATGACAACTAGACACTTGCACCTGTCGTTTGTTCAAATTCTAGAATGAATCTACCAGCAAGCAACTTCGACGGGGTGCGCTGTAGAATCTGAAACGTTGACTTATTTAATATCGTTGAAAAAAAAAATCGTAGGTTATATGCGCTGAAGCCATTGCAAATTTTAATTTTGTAGGCAAACTGCGCAGATGAAATCAGACTGAATTGTTGTTCCGCCTCTTTGAAAATTGTGGAGGAATTCGGGTGTGTTAATTTTTTTTTTGGTTTTCCATGCAAAATCAGGTACCAAAAATAATCGCCGGAGAGAGTTGAGTAATATAACATATTAAAGCTCTTTTAATTGTGATTAGGAGTAATGAAACAGGAAAAAGTTGATTAGGTATGATGCACTTTTTGAGCTCCAGAGTAGAGAAAAACCGGTTTGAAATTTTTGGTTTTTTTTCTAAATTCGAGCAAGTAAAGCGGGCGAGAACGCTTTTTTTTCTTAATTCAAGCCCTTTACAATAGCGTGTTGATGCTTAATTTAAATTTAACTCAAGATTTTAAATGTCATTTGGGAATCAAAAATTAAAAAGTTTGAAATTTTGGTAATACTTTTTGATGATTTTTTAGTTTTTCTATTCATTTTTCTTCAAATTCTGTTGTCCTGTTTGCCTATGTGACTATCACTGTCGAATATGCCTAACTTATAACTTTACGTCATATCCTTTTATCACACCACGCAGAACTACACTAATTTGAAAAAAATATATATTTTCAGTAGTTTTTTAAAAACTATGGTCGGAACATTCTGTGCTACTTTCACAGAAACCGGCTATCCTTTTATTGTTCCGACTTTCGTAACGGAATATTTGTGCTCGGGTGGGCTTTTTTTTCTTCAGACAAATTTCGACTTTTTAACTAGCCATTTTTGACGGAATTTTTAAAATATCATTCGAAAGGTATTGTTGTCCTGAGCTTGAATTTGAAAAGATATTTCACCTGTAATCATTTTTTGTTTGAAACAGCGGGTTTAAAATTTGCTATTTTGGCTAATTTGGGACATTAACGGGCGATATATTTCGCACTATTAACGCGTAAGCGGGTATTTAATCCGCCTTAGAAATCGTTCCAAATTGTTTGAAGGAAGCTTATTTGTCATAATTGATTTGTTACTAGGAGCGAAATCTATCACTTTAAACTTTACATGGCGTGTGGGGGGATGAATTTCACAAAAAATCTCAAATTTGATCAAAAAAATTTCATTTTTATTATTACATTTAATTTTTTCATGTTATTACTTCTCCATAGACCTTTAAAGGCAGTCGGAACATTCAGGTCTTAACCCTGATACGAGCAGTCTTGTTTCTTTTGCTACTGGATGATGTTTTTTTTGCGTCTAGAATTTCTCACTCAATTGTCTAGAATTTCCCTCATGGTTTCAGCAACTTTCCAACTCGATATATTTCTCGAAGTATTTGAAGTACGTTTGGTTTAATATAGTCTTATTTATTACATTGAAAGTTAGTGTGGTGGCTCTTAGCTTCTTACATTTCAAGGTTTCACATGCAAAGTTTGAGATTTTGTGCATTTTAAAACTTTTATGCATCCGCATATTTGCAGTTTTCTCGCTCGTGTTTGCGAAGCTGAAACTTTGCCTTCGTGTTATCTCTTCAATTTTTTTGCGAGCGTGAGTTCTAGTCGGGGCTTGCACCCTAATCAAGTACAATCAATTGTCAATTTTGCCGGCGCAATATTTTGATTTGTAACAGAGAACATTGCAATTAATAGATTTTGCGACAGGGCAGCTATTGGAAAGTAATTGTTGGCTGGCGTGGCAATAAGGAACCAATTTGATCTGCTGCTGTGATTCAAATGCTGCTGCGTAGGGGTGGGAAATCGATAAACGCATATCTAATATATCGCGATACAATATCTAAATATCTATCCTCTTACCTAGTTTTTCTCAGAAATGGTTGCAAATTTTAAATACTGATAGCAAGATGTTATCTGACGACTCTTTTCTGTATCAGTTTGTCTTTTTTGTGTGAGCTACTTTGATATTTGGAGTTTAAGTAGCAAAAAAGACGGATTATAACGTAGACAGCTCTTTAACCAGTCAGAATCGAGATAAGAAAACAAACATACGCAAAAATTATAAATAATTTTAGATCTACTTAACAATTGCCCCCCCCCCCCCCTTTTAATAAAGGGGGGGGGGGGAATTGTTAAGTAGATTAAAATAACGAATTTTCGACCAATCAGAATGCAGTCAAATTCTAATTCGCAATAGAAAGCTCTGTGCTAATTTACTGCTTTTATTAATAGGGGTGGCAATTCTTAAGTAGATACCGAAGGGGGGGGGGGGGTTAATTATTAAGTAGATCAATAATTTTTTATCTAGTACATTTCTTTTCTCGATTCTGATTGGTTTATGAACTGTATTTTTTTTGACCGCACTCCATATTTTGACAGACTAACAATGGCACGGTTGAAATGCGGTTTCAACTAGCATGTATATCAAAAGACCTAAGCAACTAGGACTAAACTAGCAAGAGACCATATAGGAGTGATTCTCTTCAGGAGTTTCACAATAATTATTTTGAAACTAAGAAGTTTACAGTATTCAATTTAACTGTAGATGTTTCTTAATATTAAGGCTTCGTTCAAGTGAATAAAATCCAATTCAGATCCGAAAAAAAATGCTAAAACAACGGAATGAAAACAGGCTACCGCTAAGATATCGAGTGGGGAAAAGGGGTTTCAGTGAAAGACCAACGTTTCAGCTATTAAATCAGGAGCGTTCAACAACGCCGAAGTACAACAGTGCCGAAAAAGGAAAGTAGACGATTTTGCAAAACTGCAACTGTGAGAAAATAGACGAAAGTGAGAGAGAGATTAAAATTGTTTGCAGAAAAATTGGGCGAGAAAAATAAAATTGCTTGCAGACAACAGTTAAATTTCGGTGGCAAAAAGTTTTACAAGTCAATCATGCATAATTTATTCAATTCAAAACTCTCGTGTAATATTCGGATTAACATTTTATGTTCAGTTAAAGCAACTGTTTTGCTAGGTAATGTCATTACAGGTTGTCTTCATATTTGTGAAACTTGACTATTAAGAAAAAATTTTATTGGCCCTTTCCTTTTCTATCTAAAATGCCAGATCTGAAAAAAAATGTCGTCTAATTTCATTTTTGTAGCATCCGTCTAATTTGCTTATCGTCTAATTTCCTAGACCCGAATAATTTAAACGCATTTTCTAAAGAGCGGGAAATTACTGACGTTAATCATAAAAGAAAATCACTCCAATTTCCGCGCCAAACTGTCTGCAACTGCAAATTAAACAATTATTTTGGCGGGAAAACGTCTAAATTGCAAATTTTCTCTCAAAATGTTCAAGTGTCACTTAAGATTGTAAACTTTCGCCGTTCAATTTTGATTGCCGCACTTAATATGTTGAAATTTAATCACATTTTCGGGTGGCCAGTCAATAAGCAGAATGGTCTAAAAGCAGAATTGGCCCAGGAGCAGAATAATAGATAAATATCAACTTGTATAACTGATCGGTAAATTAGTTATCAGAATTAACAATAATAGCAAAGTAACGCACATTTTATGCATATTTTGAGCAATTTAATCAAGAATTTTTTTTAAAATTATTTAAAAACCTTAAGAAATTAGTCAATTCATGCATAATTTATTGGTTATCTTGATTTTTTTGACGATTCTTATAATTAATTTATTAATTAGCCCGTATAAACCAATATAAGTCAATATTGTTCTGTTTTTCTGCTCTTGGACCCATTCTGCACTTGGACCATTCTGCTTATAGCTCCGCCTCCATATTTTTGGCTCTGTTGAACAAAGTTTTCATTTTCAGCACTTGAAATAATTTTTTCTTGGCACTGTTGTACTTCGGCACTGTTGTACTGCTCCGTTAAATCTCATCTCGGCTGCGTAAGCAATCTTAACTCTACAAGTAGAATTTTCGTCTCTAGCTCCAAATACTAATGAAAGAAGAAATCACTATAACAAAAGAAAGCGATGTGTTAAATTGCATGGACAAAGAGTGAAACGCGGGTATTCACTTATGCAAGCCAGGCCCGCTAAGAATATCTAATCCTAGAAACTCTATCAAATTATTTATTATTATATAGAACTACTTTTGAACAACCTTAAAAATGAAACTATAACCAAAATGCTCGTATCAAGGCGAAGTCCTGAATGTTCCGACTGCCTTTCAAGGTCTATGGAGCACAGTAATAACATTTAAAAAAATTAAAAAAAAAATTAAATAAAATTTTTGTTCTTAAGTTTGAGATTTTTTTTGTGAAAATCATCCCCACACGCGCCATTTAAAGTACAAAGTGATAGATTTTGCTCCTAGTAACAAATCAATTATGGCAAATAAGCTTCCTTCAACCAATTTGGGACGATTTCTGAGAAGGATTAAATTTCCGCTTACGCTTTAATAGCGTGAAATATAT